AGAGGAAGGAATTAACACATTTTTAGGTACAAGGACTGGTAAATCATCCACGATTGGTGAAGTTTGAACTGAACATGCTCCTATCTCAAATTATCCCATCTACTTGGGCCCCTCCAAAGAACACTGCTCTGGCAGCTCTCCTCTCTCTCCTAAATCATCAGTTTTCTATCTCTACTGGATCATTCTTAGCAGTGTATAAGATGCAGTTTCTCCCATCTGAAATCACTCTTGAATCCACATCTCTAGTCCTCTGCTCCCTTTCCAGAAGAATCTTTAAAAGACTGTCCACACCTATGGTCTTCAGTTCCTCTCCTGATTCTCTCCTGAGCTCTCTGCCCTCAGGCTTTTGCCTTCTCCATTCCACTAACACAGATCTTGTCAAAGGCGCCAATATCTTCCAAGTGGCTAAATCTTAGTCATTTCTCTGACCTTACCTAAATTGACTTGTCAACAGTTTTCAACATATTTGAATCCTTATCACTTCTTTGAAAAACTTTTTTCTCTATTTGACTTTGAGGATTCCATACCTCTTGATTTTTTTTTAAGATTTTAATTTTTTCCTTTTTCTCCCCAAAGCCCCCCCGGTACATAGTTGTACATTCTTAGTTGTGGGTCCTTCTAGTTGTGGCATGTGGGATGCCGCCTCAGCATGGCTTGATGAGCGGTGCCATGTCCATGCCCAGGATCCGAACAGGCAAAACCCTGGGCCCTCGCAGTGGAGAGCGTGAACTTAACCCCTTGGCCACGGGGCCGGCCCCCATATCTCTTGATGTTTATTCTGATTTTTATGCTCCCTCACCAGTCATTCTTTCTCAGTCTGCTTTGCTAGCTTCTCTTCACATCTCATGCCTCTAGATGCTAAAATGCCCAAGACTCAGAATTCTTTTTTCCTTCACTCTCTTGGTTATCTCATCTATTTCAGTCCTTAAATACCATCTATATGTTGACAATTGCCAAATTTGTACCTAAAGTCTATACCTCTTCTCTAAACCCCAGGTGCAAATATTCAAACATGTCTACTTGGGCATCTAATAGGCATCTCAAATGTAGCATGTCCCAACATGCTTTCAATTTTCCCAATTTCAGTAAATGACACCATCTCTCTAAGTGTTAAGCCAAAACCTTGGAGCCTATCTTGATTCTTTTTTAGTCATATTCCACATTCAGTCCAAAAGCGAATCCTGTTGACTCAAATTTCAAAACATATCCAAAGTCCCTTGACTTCTTACCAGCTGCACCACAATTATTTGATCTTAATCATCATCTCATGTCAGGTTACATCAGTCTGTCCTCAGAACTCTCCAGTGGCTTCCTATTTCCGATAACTTACAATTTTCAAGGCAAAAAAGATCTTAATCCCTCAGCTCCTATCACTTTGCTGATCTCATCTCCTCTTACTCAACTCCTTGCTCATTCCATCCCATGTCCCACTGGCCTCTTTGCTGTCCTTCAAACCTCCAGGTATGCTCCTGTTTTAGGCCTGTGTGGTTTTTTCTCTGTCTAGAATGCTTCTTTTCATATCTCCATGGCTTCTTTTCTCATCTTCTGAGAGTGTTTGCTCAAATATTGCCTTTGCAAGGAAGGCTTCCTGACTATTCTGGCTAAAGTTACAGCTCTTCCACTCTCTGTCACCTTGGTTGTTTATGTTTCTGGTTTCTTTTTTTGTTTGTTTGCAGGGAAGAATTGGCCCTGAGCTAACATCTGTTGCCAAACTTCCTCTTTTTTTTTTTTTTGTCCCTGAAGCCCCAGTGCATGGTTGTATATCCTAGATGTAAGTCCTTCTAGTTCTTCTATGTGAGCCACTGCCACAGCTTGGCAACTGACAGACAAGTGGTGTGGTTCCATGACTGGGAAACAAGCCTAGCCCACCAAAGCAGTGAGAGGGCTGAACTTTATCCACTAGGCCATCAGGGCTGGCCCTGGTTTATGTGTCTTCATAGCACTTATTGCTATCTGACTTTATATTATGTTTCTATTGATCTGTCTATAGTCTGTCTTCTCCACTAGAATCTAAGTTCTATTAGGGCAAAGACTTTGTCTTGTTCAGCCCAATGCTTGGAACAGAATCTCACACAAAGAAGGTGCTTGATAAACATTTGATGAAATAAGAAATCCATGATGATTCCTACACAAGAATGTCATCTTCTAAAACAAAGATTAAAGTATTCATAAATTAGGTAAAATCCTCACAAACATATGTATATGGATATATATTTTGAATTCACTGGGAAAAGTCTGGTAGGAAATAAATGAATGAATAACCTTTGTATTAGAAACTGCAGAGTAGAGAGATACAGAAATTATATAAAAATTGGGAATTTAAAACTTTATGAATGTAATGAAGTTCTGAAAACTCTTTCAACACTTTTATATTTTATTAAAAATTAAAAATCCTGAACAATGATCTGTAGTCATAAGAAAACAATGACAATAAAAACATAATACCCAAATGATTGATGATATTATAAAAATGCACCTAATTGGTATAGAAATTCCATTCTAGTTCAGAATAATATCAATATGCATAATTCCCTTTATATTAAATTTATAAAATCTAACAGTTTTCTCTGGTATTTTACATATTTTTATATTATTTTTAAATTTCTTCATTCCTTCTTTGGTTTTGGATAAATTAACAGATATTTTAATTCATGTAACCACTAACCTTAATTTTAAAATTGATCTCTGGAGTAATTCAATTTGCCCTTTTTAATTTTTAACACAGAAATTCTAAGATAAGTCTCATTTATCAAAGTAGATCATTATGAAAACACTGACTTAATTTTTACCTAATCATTTTAAAAGCACAGTCCTTGATAAAAGCGTTATTTGCTAACTCTACATCTCATTTTACCTATAAATAAAATATTATCTTTAACATAGGCATAAAAATATATGCTCTGAGCAGGTCTTTTTAAAGTCAGTGGCACAGCCACACCTTTATGTTATCTCTAAAATGGTACTTTATCTTCTAATCAAAAATGTTTAGAAGATATGGATCAAGATCACCGCATTTCATTCTATGTTTTAAAGTATTTTTATCAATATGTATAAAAAATACATTCTTATTTGCAAAACTCCAAAACTAAATAAAGTAACGCTACCACAAAAGCCATTCAGTGGTTCTCTAAGAAAAAAATAATTTGTCTTGGACACTCTACCTTAATGTTAGTTTAGTATGTATATCAGTCATTTTCCTTTCTAAGAAGTCTGGGCTGATAAGGGAAGGAGTTAGATGGCTCCTGGAAATTGACGTGAAATAGCCTGAACGGTTCTGCAGGAGCAGGGTGGACAGCAAGGGCACAGTTAGCAGTAATTACAGACCAGGGAGCACTTAACTGGAGACCCTCAGGAACAGGCGCTCCAGACTGCTCACATGTCTAGGAATTCCTCATGTTTAACAACTGCAAGATTGACACTGATAGTTTCTCTTCAAAAGTTTCTCTAGCTAATGTTTATGGATAGTTTAGAAAATTCTCAAACTGCTTTGGTCTCCTTTGTGTGGGTAATGAAGCCATAGGAATATTTGCTAGAGTTACAAAGCTGTGACCACTCAAAAGACGTGTAGATTCAGTGATCATTCTTGTGTCTACTCCCTAACATATTCCATTACTGTAGAAAGTGGAATAGAGAATGTCAAGGAGAAATGATCAATCAGAGGCAAGCCTCTAGGGTCTTTTTTGTTTTGTCACTCTGTGATAAAGCTCAACACTAATTTCAGTCCCCACATAGTTTTTAATTTCCAGACATCTATACGTAGGCAACAATCCTCTCTTCTTACAACCAGAAATATGTCTGAAAATAACTTACTATATATGTGTATGATTTGTCATATATATATATATATATGCATATATATATATATATATATACAAAGTTTATTTTGGGTTAATGAAAATTAGATTGATAAAATATAATTATCTGAGAGCCAGCCTGATGGCCTAGTGGTTGAAGTTCAGCCCTCTTTCTGCTTCAATGGCCCCAGTTTGGTGGTTGTGGAACCACACCACTCATCTGTCAGTTGTTATGCTGTGGTGATGGCTCTCATAGAAGAACTAGAAGGACTTACAACTAGAATATACAACCATGCACTGGGGCTTTGGGGAGGAAAAAAGAAAGAGGAAGATTGGCAACAGATGCTAGCTCAGAGCAAATCTTTCCCAGCAGAAAAAAAAAATATATATATATATATATATGTATATAATTATCTGAGAGAAAAGAAGAAATTATGGTGATTTGAGATCTGAGAATTATCAAAATGAGTCTAAAGATTTAAATCACCATAAAGGAAAACAAATGGGGCGGAGGGAGCAAAAGAAAAATGACCCTAGAGACTTGCATCTGCTTGATCATTTCTTCTTTGCATTGTCTCTTCCATTCCCTATATTAATGTCAGATAGGGACACATGCTCGGAAGAAAAATAAAGCAGGGCAAGACGACCAAGAGTGGAGAGGGCTGCTGCTCTAGACCGAGGGATCAGGGGAGGCTTTGTGCAGAGGTGACACCTGCGCAAAGATCAGATTGTGATCAAACAAGGCAGATGCTGCTGCAAAGCTTCCCCTCCGCTGGACGGGCACTTCAACTGTAAACTATCAAGATGAAACCATATGCAACAGATTTTAGATATGTTTATATTCAGCTTGAAAAATCAATAAATTGGGGATCCTTTTAAATAGACTGCCTGAATTTGACATGAAAACTAGTAAAACAACATTGGTTTGGGAAACTTAGCCACTGCCATTCCCCAAAGAAGTTCGTGACGAAAGTACTTTTTAAAAAAGGCCTAAGAAAGTCAGCACCATGACTAGAACAAACTGAATCTGAGTCAAACTGGCATATTGTACCAAAGATGACTTCGCTATTTTTTAAAGAAGGGAGTAATATCTATTAGTGACTAGGATTTTTCCTATTTTCTAAAGGGAGTAATATCTATTAGTGACTAGCATTTCGACGGAATTAATAACAGGATGAGACACAAAAAATATGTCAAGACACAAAGTTACAGAATGGCATATTCCCAGATTAATATACTCTTATATATTAAGTAGTATGTGAATACATACACAAATTCTGTGTGTGTCTATGTATAATTGATAAAATGACGGATTATAAACACATATCAGATTCTTCTCAGGAAAGCCTAAAGAACTTTTCTTGGAATAAAGGTCCCCATAAAGAGGAAGCTTGGTCAGTTTAACTTGTATTCTCTCTACAGTGCAAAGTGTTCAAAATTAAGTTGTCCATTTGTTTGCATTTCTCTCAGATCGTCTAACATCTCAGACTGTCAGACAAACATACATAATATAATACTTGTTCTTCCGTTTTTCAAGTGATAAATGGTGTGCTGAGGCTTTGCGTGCTCCAACCGCGTTGTAGGTCTGCCGAAGGAACATCAAGACACCACTTGGAATCTCTTTCTGGAAGTCAAGGTCGTCCTCTGAAAAGATTTAGACTGATACTGTGAACCTGAAACACCAACCAAAAGTAAAGTAATTCTCCTTAAAATGTTAAAAATTCCAGCTCTCAAAGGAATGGTTTTGTACATTCCATGCAGATGATATTTTTTAAAAAGAAAAAAATTATTTTAATTTCCCTTTTACACAAACCAGGAAATAGTCATATGCAAAAACCACCATTTTGGGTCCTGAGAAGAAGGAAGTATGCTCCCCCTTCACCAAGCCTGGGTGCTGGCCACCTGTTCTCCCAGAGCTGGTGGGTTTGCAAGAACCTTCTATCCCAAGGTGGATCCCTAAGGCCCCGGAAGTTGAGCAGGGAGCTCTGCCAGACCTGCTACTTCACAGGGACAGAAGCAATGTCAGCTGCCTTAAGATCCTTCCCACTGTTGGTGATATCCCCTCAATTTCTCCTTTTTTTCTGCCACAGAACAAATGTTCCTAAGTTAATAGTTCCTGGTGCTTTTTGACCTAAAGGCAAAAATAAGAAAGAGATATGTCTGCATGTCAGAGAAAAAGAAATAAATCCTTAGAAATACAGAAACATCTCTCTTATGTACCCTTGATGGCTTTTATAGAAATTAAAAAGGCTCCCAACTATCAATAATAATATTTGTCACAAAGTTATTGACAAGAGAATACACTGACTTAGTATTTGGTGAAAAAATTAAGAGTGCAGATTTCAAAACAAATTCAGAGCCCAGTTCCCTCTCCTAATCTCTACTGCTGTGTGTGCCCAACAAACTATTAGCCATCTCCCCTCAGCATGCTGCAGGCAACGTCTCCAAAACTGAATTCATCAAGAGTCCTTGGATTCCCTCCTCAGGACCACTGTCTGCTGGCCGTCCGCAGAATCATATTTGTCAACCTTCACTCCTTCTGTCTCACACCACGTGACGTTCATCCTGATGCCTGCGGCTCCCACCTCCTCCAGAGGCCCCTTTACCCTCCTGCATCTCCAGCTAGGTGGCCCTGCTCATCACTCTCATAGCCCTCTCCATCTCCCCCACTAGACTGAATGTTCCTTGAGGCACAGACCAAAACATCCTTGGTGTTTGAATCTCAGCCTTGAGCACGGGACTGGGTACAGAGTGAGCACTTGTTACCTTGTTATTGATTAATAAACAAACTTGGATGCTTACTTTCCCCCTGCTCAGCCACAATTCTGTTAAGAGCATTACCTGACAATGTAGCATGGCTGCCTTTTAGAGAAGTAGCTGTTGTCATTGACAATGACCACTAACACTGATAGGGAACGTACAAGAAAAAAAGCAACAAAAAGGCACAGTAGCCTAGAGCTATTAGCATTGGAGAAAAATCTCGAAAGGCTGAAGAATCTTTGACATCACTATGATATTGAACTATAGAAGAGCTCATGCAAACAGTGATAAACCTATGTTGTCCCAATGCTTAAATTTTACATTTATTTTAAAATTATAATATATTAAATATTTCCCTTAAAACAGCAAATTATCCTTTACATTTCAGATTATCTATAATACAAATGGTTTATGATTTTTGAGCAACAGTATATGCCTGGCATCTAGCTAGGTCCTCTGTATACATTCTCCCAATAGTTATTTTATCCACTCAGCTTGTTATAAAAGAAGAAACTGAGGCCCAGAGAGGTTGAGGCATTCCCAAGGTTGCACAGCTAGTAGATAGTAGAGCCAGGAGGAAACCAGGCAATTGATTGCAGAGTGGAACACCACATGACTCATGACAATGCTATGTTGCCTCCTTGAACAAAAGAGTTGGTAGCAGTTTTGAAAATTACCACATCATTGGCCTGCATTCAGACTAAAAACTTTATGCTTCAAACAGCCTCTGAGGCTGAGAATGGGTATTTATCTGTAAAACTCTAAATTATAAAATAATTAGGATATCTGTATTAATTTTATCAAACATTTTTATAATTAGGTCTTCAAAGAGAACTAAGATCAGGGTTTCATTTAGGAGAAAAGCATGAAAATTCCAAAGCAGACAGCAACACTGATTTCTCCTAAGGGACATAAGACAGCATTTTCCTTTTTTATGAGAACGAGCCGCCAAGTTAATAAAGAGCGTTTGGGCATTTTCCCCTTTACAACCAACAGCTGGCAAATGCTTGTCTTTGCAATTTTGCTCTTTATAGAGATTTTTGAGGTCTGGCCATAGACCACAAAAAGTTGGTATTTCCTCTTACATGGTCAAAATAGTCCTATGAATAGAGATCATCTTCAATTTCTCCTTCTGAAACTTCAAAGGTCACATATTACATCATTTTATTTATATATGGAGAACACTGACCTGTCAAACCTTGACCTGTCCATGTGTGACTAGCAAATTCCATCACGGTCAGTGAACTTTTTCGAGGCATCTCTGACTGTTAGAAGAAAAATAAAATGAGGGATCACTTTTATGGTTTCAAATATTTTTAAAAATTAAAGTTATTGGTAACGGACAACTTACCCGAAATGTATGGGTTGTGCTGGGCCTTGAAAACTGTTCCACAGTCAGAGATCTTTCTCGAAGAGGCGACCGTTCTATACTGTCCGGTATCGCACTTAACACACGGCTTTGTGGATGCCTTCCTCTGTACTAAAGGAGGGATAAGAGGTTCTTGTTTAAAATAAATGCAATCCTTAAAAAGACAAAGGGAAATCTATATACGCTTTAACCATTCACTCACTTATCCATTCACTTGCTTATTTGAAAACTTTTATTTAGATATTGCTAAGAATAAAGTCTACTAAGCATAAATATCAAAATATATTTTAATGATGTAATTGTATTATTTAACCAGATAAAATGGTCATGTCCTAATAGGTAAATATGAATTAAAAGACTTAACCACACAAAATTCTTAATTTAAATCATAAGAGAAATGTAATTCTGTATTTGAGAAGCTTCAGACTTTTTTAATGTGATATTTGCCTTCTTTTATGATTTCACTCTAAGCCACAACATTCTTAGGATAAATATTAAAGTTTTACAACTCTTGCCTTCTGGGAATGGGAGAGTTCTTAATTTATGCCAGGCATTATTCAACATCTATAAATTCATTGAGTCCTTACAACATTTCTTTGAGGTAGGAATCATTATTGCTCTTCTGTAGATGAGAAAAGTATGGATCAGGGAGATTAATTTGCTCCAAATTGTACAGAGAGCTTGTGTGGCAGGATTCAAACACAGATCTGCCTGTCTCCCCACCTAGCCTTCATGCTATTTTCTTCTCTATACCTTCTGACCATCAGATATTTCCTTGATACCCAGACTTTCTGATTTATTTCAAGGCACGTGTTTATTTCACAAAATAGTGAATAAACCCCCCTACCACGTGTAAATTCTCACAAGCCATTTACTTTCAGGAAGCAGATTATGGAGATAATTTATGGTACTGAGTTCATTTGGAAGCATCAAAATTATATTTTGTTTGTTTGTTTGTTTCCCAACAGACTATCTAAATGGCGCTCTTAAATATAATGAAATCTGTCTTACAGAAACTGGGCGAGATCCGGGAACTGCCGCGCTCTGCTCACCAGCCTCCGAGCCTATTGGGGGTAACCTGCTCCGCGAGGTTTGAACTGGTGGGGAGGACAGGCGGTCTATGCCGGCTTGCCTGTAAACACAACAACACGTCACTTAGCATCCGGGTGCAAAGAGAGTGAGGGATAGACCCTAGATGAAGTTCCTGATCTGAGCCATTAAGCACATTCTCCCTTCCCAAAGAAACGCCAAGTAGAATGACCTGAGCTTCAGGAAGACAAATGTGAGCCAGAGTGGACCACTAGCTCCAGTCGCCTTCTTGTTTAGCACTGACTGTCAGCCTGTATTTCCTGAGTGCTGCACTATGCCAGCCACTGTGCAGAACACAGAAACAATCGAAGAGCTATTTCCTTCCCTTAAGGAGCTTATAAGTAATTGAAAACACATGCAGTAGAGTACAACGCAATGCAGTTTGTATAATGAAGTGCTATGGTCTATGATTCTGAATATAAGGACTGTAGAAATTTAGGGAGTGGAACAATCATGAAGGATAATATTAATTATAAAAGTGCAGGGCTTCTATGAGAAAAACTACAAAACTTTATGTAAGGTCACAAAAAAGAGATATGTCACAAAAAGGGGGGGCAAAATATGTTCTCTGATGGGACAACTAAAAATTGTGAAAATGTTAGTTATTCTTACATTTTTAATAGATTTAATGCTATGAAGTCCAATGGGATACTTTTTCTTCTTGTGGAATTTGATGACCAGATGGTAAAACTTATTTGTCAGGATGGGTGAGTAAATTTTAATAAAATAAGGGTAAGGATGATAGGAGAGCTTCCCTACCACACATTAACACTGAAAAATTAAATTGTCTGGTTTGTGCGCAAGAATACGGATAGATATGCTAGAAACAGATTCTAATTCACTTATTCACTAATAATAAAGTTATGAAAGTTAAAATATGACAATTTTGCACCTATCAAGTTTTAAAATACACATACAACCCAAAGTTTAGAGGCTGCCAGGAAAGAGAGCGTCTTGTGTATTGTACTATAGTGGGACTATAAACTGGTAGAACTATTCCAGGAAAAACTTTGGAAAAATATTTCAAGAGGGGCTAGCCCCATGGCCGAGTGGTTAAGTTCGCGCGCTCCGCTGCAGGCGGCCCAGTGTTTCATTGGTTCGAATCCTGGGCGCAGACACGGCACTGCTCATCAAACCACGCTGAGGCAGCATCCCACATGCCGCAAGTAGAAGGACCCACAACGAAGAATATACAACTATGTATCGGGGGCTTTGGGGAGAAAAAGGAAAAAAATAAAATCTTTAAAAAAAAAAATTTCAAGAGCCTTAAAAACAACCATAACTTTTGACCTGGTAGCCTGCACCATCAAGAAACAATTTAAAGACATCCTTATTAAGATTTATATAAAAAGATGTTCGCTGCAGATTACAACAGTGAAAATATAGACGAAATGAAAAGTTTCAGTAATAGGGAAATACTTGATAAATTATCACATACATAACCACATGATTATTTTTCACTCATTAAAATCATGCTTTCAAAAATATTTAAAAATATGGGAAATGTGAATAATGTTAAGTGAAAAAAGTAGGTGAAAAAGTGCCACATTATACAATAGCGAGATAACAGTATTAGAAAAAAGATAATGGAAAGAAAGGAATAAATATAGTTACAGACAAAATTGGTAGTAAGTTTACTAACAGTTGTCATTTTTATATTTCTGTGTTGGGCATACAGGCGATCTTTGATTTCTACTCAGATTTTTGGTATTGTCCTAATGTTCCACAATGAACCTGCAGTATTTCGATAATTAGAAAAAATATGTTATTTCAATAAAAGTGAAAGATCATGAACAAAATCATGGAAGTTAGAATACGCATGGCTGGTATGTTTGTGGGTCAAAGAAAAAACTGATGAGAAGTACTGGGAAAGAGGTTTGTACATCAAAGAGGGTGATGTTGTCCCCAAAGGGTAAATATTGGTTCTCGATGGGACAAAAATATCTTACTCTTTGTATGTGTAAAACACAGATATAAAAAACAGTACATGAACCATATATAGTGTATTTGTAGTATTAAATTCCCGGGTGGGGGGCCGGCCAGCGGTGCAACGATTAAGTTCGAAAGTTCCTCTTCAGCGGCCCAGGGTTTGCTGGTTTGGATCCCAGGTGCGGACATGGCACCGCTTGGCATGCCATGCTGTGGTAGGCATCCCATATATAAAGTAGAGGAAGATGGGCACAGATGTTAGCTCAGGGCCAGTCTTCCTCAGCAAAAAGAGGACAGTGGCAGCAGATGTTAGCTCAGGGCTAATCTTCCTCAAAAAAAACAAAAAAAATTCCACAGGTGGAGGAGGAATTAGAAAAGATACTCTAAATGGGCTCCTTAGCATGGAAATCAAACCAAAAATGTTGGAAAACACAGGTCTACAGATAGGGAGGGGCCAGCACAAGAAGGGAATGTACAGTGGAGGCGTCTGAATTTATTTCAATAGGAAAGAGAAAAGGTTTTCGACAAAAGCCTGAGAGCGGAGCCCAGGTGGACCGGGAGGAAGAGGGAGCCAGTGATGTGCTGTTGACATGGGCATGGGGTGAGGAAGGGGTCCCAGGTGGCCACAGCGAGAGGAAGGAGGGAGACCTTGAAAGAATTAGCAGAGCAGATCCAAACAAAGCTGGAAATATCAGTTCCAAATTGTGAAGGAAACATTACTATCAAAAAGCTGGAAGTGGTGCCATGTAACGCAGCCAGTTGTTGGTTAAGTACTGGCACCTGCTTTCACCTGCCACCCCTTCCGGGGGACCACTCTGTAACTCCCTCCCTTGCTGCAGAGAACCCGTGGCTCAGTGGTCCAGGGGATGACCTCCAAAACTAGACAGTGCTGTGGGGGTGTCCCAGCTTGGCCACCCCTGGTGGGATGATCTTTGGCAAGTTATTCAACTAAAGAAACAGCCTCTGTTTCCTCATTTTCGATTTGGGATAATATGAGTACCCACTCAAAAAGTTTGTGGTAGGGAATAAATAATAAATGTGATTCATTTACCTGTTGCTGGTAACACAGAAAGCAATCAAAAAACACTAGCTGCTATTAACCTAAGTATGGGCTGACACTTGAGTAGGTGAGAAAGCTGGAAAGCTCCCTTGTAATTCCATGATAAAGGAAGACACAGATTCCTTTCTAATAAGGCGATGATTTGATGTTGGTCCCTAAGGTCAAAAGCTTTTCTGAAACTCCCTATATAGAGGGAAACACATCCTTAGAGATAAAAACTAGTCAGCATACACTCCTTTTATTTTAAAGCATTTTACATATATTAATTAATTAAACCTCACAATAAAAGTATTAATCATGCAATTTAAAAGCATTAGTGAATTATTAGTTTTACAGACAAGGCCACTGAAGGCCATCCAAGATCATGTCACTATTAGTTTCATTTTGCCTCACTGCCTGTGCCATGGGACGCACTGCCTGACTTTACATTCTGGTATGCAGCTAAGTATACTCCTGGAACGAACTCCTGGTAAATACTCAAGTTGATGAACTATTTAGAAAAGTGTCCACATAAAATGTGACAGAGGATGCTTTGTCTGGAATAAACCATAAGCCCTATTTGACAAGTGTCTCTGTCCTCCGTGGCCTTTGGTTTACCGTGAAGGAAACAAGACTTACAGTTTTGTTCCCCTAAGAACTTCCTCACTGCACACATTGGGGGTTTTCATTCTCTGCGAGTCGGAAGTAAGAGAAGGCAGCCTCCTATGTGTCGGCGTTTTCTTTGCAGAACTCTGTAGCCCACGACTATCTGAGATTCGTCCCAGACGATACCGTGCGGAGGAAAGAGCGCTGGCTCCTACACCCAATGATTTGTCCTCTTGCTCATTCCTGGGGGAGGCAAATCAAATTAATTACTCAGATGTAAGCACTGCGAGAACAGCACACATATATATTTGCCCATTACTAGGCCTAGTCTCGGACAGTGCCTGGTACCATAGAAAACAGTCCTAAGTATTTGTTGAATGAATGGACAGATTCTCATTTCCAATCCAATTTCAATGTCAATGAAGAATCATCCACTGGAAAAATGATCTAAGTTTCTCACTATTTGTAATCAAATAGCATAGCACACAAGATTAAGAATTCCCAGCTACATTCCCCCTTTCTTATCTGCTCCAACCTAATAGTAACTGTTGTGTGGTTGATATCAGAACAGTGTGTTTTTATTCTTACACGGTGGCTGGATCCAGGCACACCTGGATCGTGGGATTAAATGGGATTCTCATTATCTCATGTCCTCTGTGGTCTTCAGTGCTCCAGTGTGTCCAGCATAGGAAAGAGGCTGGGGAGTTATTTCTTATACGTGATGATGATCAAGGCTGCCCCAGGGAGAGAAGCCGAAAGTGTCCTGCCCTACATACCGATCTATATCATCCTCTGGGAAATATAAGATGTCCTGACCTGATCCGAACTGATTCGTGTCCAAAGTTATAAGACCACCTGATAACCAGACCCCAACCTGCACTGATACCATTTTAACAACTTTTTTTACATGATCTTTCCTTTGTCTTGTAAAGAAATAACTCACATACCTATGCCTTATAAATTTAGCCCTGCCCTCAACCCAGTGTAGCTCTTCCCTGTCCATGGGTCCCGTCCCGGTGCTGCAGCTCTTCACTCCCCATGGGTCCTGTCCCCATGCTACTCCATGCTATTCTCTGAATAAAAGAGCACTACTGCCGGACCTTGAGAGTCTAAGAAATCTTTCTTTCGACTCCTTGGCTTGCCGAGCCCACATCATACGTACTGTGTTTTATCTGCAAAATAGGTAGGTCTCTGCTGAAGCGGTTTTGCTTGAATTGTCATCACACCATTCAAATCACTATAAAAGTTGCTGGAGAAGCGATGAATCTGAGAAAAGCAAAAACAATAAAAATGGAAAAGCATCCAGTGTCATTGTAATTACTGATGCCTGTGAGGAATCAGCAGGAAACAAATCTTGCCCCCAAACTGACTAATCTGAGGAAAATTTAATAAAGGGGCCATATTTTACACGATGTGGAAAGAGAGTTTAACAAGGAATAGCTTGATTCCCCCAAGGCTTATAACAGTGGGACACACAGCCACACCAAGGCCCAGAAGAACAAGAAGTGAGGGAGAGTTTCCTGGAATCTGGAAAGGGTGGCTGCATGGAGAAATGTCACCAATGCACTGTGACCTGGTAGAGAGGCCAGGAGAAAACAAAGCAAAACCCCACTCTCCTCCCGCGCTCTGAGCTCCCGGAAGCTGCAGGCGAGGGAGCCCTCAGCTGCAGTCAGTGCGTATCAGCGTCCAGGGCACACCAAGGGGAGGAAGACAGCAGATCTTGGAGAAGGAAAGAAAAGGTGTCGCAGCTCCTAACTGGTCTGCTTGCCTTGGACCTCTTCTCCTACCCTCATCCTCCTCAGCTTGCCCCAGGGAGCTGCCCAGGAGAGCAGGACAGCCTGGGAACATACCCAAGCACAGATCTCAAAGGCTTACCTTTGCCTCCCAGTTCTAACTGCTTCCTGGTTGGTGACCTTGGAAAGACTACATTGTTCTTAGAGTTTTAATTTCCTAATCTTTAAGCTGGGGATAATGATACCTACTTCATAGAGTTATAGTGAGAATTAAATCAGATAACATTTGCAAAAGCATGAAGTAAGGGCTAAGCAATTATTAATTCCCTCTTCAGTCCCACAATATGACCAACTAGGATTTAAAATAATATTTAGGCAACTAGACTTTTGGTGGTGAACACGATGTAGTCTATAGAGAGTAGAAATACAATGATGTACTCCTGAAATTTATATGTTATAAACCACTGTGACCTCAATAACAATAAATAAATAAAAATAAAACAACACACAAAATAGAGGAAGATTGGCACAGATGTTAGCACAGGGATCATCTTCCTTAAGCAAAACTAATTAATTAATTAATTAACTAAAATAAATGTTATCTTTCAATATAAATTAATAAATAAATAAAATAATATTTAGATTCAGGCAAGCAGGATGTTAACACTAGAATTCTATTCTAGTTCAAGAACAGATGTAGCAACCCCAATCACATCTTCCCCATATTGAATATACATAAAAAGAAGTGTTAGAGGAATAAATTAAGACATATTATAATTACCACTAGAACGCTTTGACTGTTTCAAAGTGGGCTCTATTAGAATTTTATTTTTACTTTTAACTTTGCTGTCCATTCATTTTCTTTTAACATTTATCCAAATGAAAACAACAAAACAGCTGTAAAAAATTTTTTTAAAACCATAAAAAGCTTTAAAAACAACAAAATATCTGAAAAAACTAGATTTTGAAATTTCCATATTTCTTGTTTATTTGTATTGGCTGATACTTAAAGGTTCTTTTCTATGTTGTCATCATCTGTTCATTTTTATGTGATTTATAGTGCCTATTCTAATATGCAAAGGGGGAAATACTGTTGAGCCTGTCAGAGCAATTTAAAGAGACCAAAAAATACAATAAGCTGGTCGCAATTCTAAAAGCTACTCTGAACAGCAAAAGCAAAGAAGACCTACTGTAAAGCCCATACACTAGCGAAGAGAACAATCCTATTAGATATTTTTGTTTTAAACCCTTGCCCGCTGAACCGCATGGCCTATTCAGGCCTGTGTCCTTTAATCTCGCAACAGTATGCTGTTTATTTGCATATTGTATATATGCCAGGTGCATATCTCAGCTGCCTCGAACATCCTCCCTTTTCTTCTTCAGCTTAACAAGTCTTGCCTATTATCTTAGTTCATGTCTTACTCTACTTTGTGAAGGGTGTGCTATTCTTCCTTCGAACTCCACAGCATTTATGAGCTATAGGACATCTAATTATAATTATAATACAATATAATACATAATTAGTATTTGATAATAAAAGCTAACACTTATTGAGTGCCTACTCTATGCCACACACTGTAGTAAATGTCTTATATCTTTTAATTCTCACAGCTTCCTACCTCATAGATCCCATAGATAATGATACGGAGATTTTGAGAGAAAAGAACTGATTCAAGATCACAGAGCTGGGCCAGCCCCATGGCCAAGTGGTTGTGTTCCCACACTCAGCTTTGGTGGCCCAGGGTTTCGCCGGTTTATCTCCTGGGCGCAGAACTCGCACCACTCATCAAGCCATGCTGAGGCGGCATCCCACATAGCACAACCAGAGGAACCTACAACTAGAATATACAACTATGTGCTGGTGGGCTTTGGGGAGAAAGAAAAAAAAGAGTGGCAACAGATGTAAGCTCAGGCACCAATCTTTAAAAAAAAAAAAAGGATGACAGAGCTAATAAATTGTGACGTCGGGTTCCAAACTTGTAGTCTATACCCAGAGATCAAACTCTCATCCACTCTACTATCTACTAGATTGCCTTATCGTGTGTGTGTGTGTTCGTGTGTGTAGTATTGCTTGGCATGGCTTGACTCCCTCCAAGGAAAGTGTATGGACCTCAAGACCAGGAATCCTGTCTTATCCTTTTTCTCTGCTCCCCCACACAAGGTAGGCTGTGCAGAACATGTCCAAACTCCTTAGCACCACTGAAGGTCTCCCATGAACACCTCATCCTTTCCAGCCTCATTTTCCACTAGATCTTTGAATAAGGACACATTTTGAGAAAAATTTATTGAGTGCCTAGTATATATCCAGTTCCATGTTATGAGCTCTCACAGACTTAGATGATGTTATCTCCACAACAACCCCTTGGACAATGTATTATTCTCCTCATTCTATAGATAAGGAAACTAAAGTTTAGAAAAGTTAAACGATATAGACAAAATAATTCTCATTATAGGTCTCCTGATTCTAAATGCCCTGGTCTTGCCACAACGCCGCTGCTGGTCCCAGTATCCTAACCTCTAACCCTCAGTCCAATCACTGTTCCCCAGACACGCCCCGGCCTTCACGCCTCCATGCATTTTCTTGGCCTGAAATGACCCACGCAGACTTCCTACCCATGGAAGCCCTGCTCATTTGTTCACGTTTCTGCTCAAATTCCACCTCCAATCTAAGAGCTCAAGCCTCAAGCTCCAGCCAGAATGAATGATTCTCTCCTTTATTCTCCCACATTACTGTCTTTGCACATCGCTTACAGAATGCATCGCATCTGACTTGTATTATACTTCTTGTTTTACTAGGTCAGGAACTACACTTTGTTCAACTATGTATCTCCTCAGAACACCTAATACAGTCCACTTAATACAGACTCAATAAATGTTGAATGAACCCAAGGCATACTCATTGGTCGATTCTTTCATCACTCTGTCGGGAGGAGAGGACAAGATCTGTAACCTTCAAATTGGCTAGAAATATTGGGAGGAAGCTTTTTCTCTCTTCAAAAACATGGAAACAGCTCTACAGCTCAAAGCAGGTGCAAAAATCTCAAATCTGAGTGTCCCTGCTCTATTAAAGAAGATGATGATTCTATTAAACTCCATGAAATAATTATTGTTAAGTCTTAGTCTTATTGACAAACAGACCCAAATAACTTGCTAACAGACTTTAATAGACTGGCACTCTTGACAAACTGAGGCCAGAGATATGAACATTGAAGGAAAGAGAAAGACTTGTGGGAAAGTATCTACCTGAGCTGGATTAAGATGAGAAGCCAGGGACACACTTCGAGTTTCAGAACTTCTGGATGGGGGGACACTGGATACATCAGTGTTAATACGGGATATGAGTAGGTGTGGAGATTTATTCTCAGCTACTTTCAAGTTTTCTTTCTGTTTTTTTCCTTCTGTGGCAACAGAAAAATCAATATTATTAAGAAACATATTATCTAATACATGTACTTAAAATTCATTATTCAAAGAGAATTATTTGGGGCCAGTCCCAGTTGCCTAGTGGTTAACTTTGGCATGCTCCACATCAGCAGCCCAGGTTTCGTTCCCGGGCATGGACCTACACCACTCGTCTGTTAGCAGCCATGCTGTGGCGGTGGCTCATGTAAAAAAGGAAAAAAAAAAAAAAAGAAGGGCCAGTTCAGTGGTGTAGTGGTCAAGTTTGTGCACTCTGCTTCGGTGACCTGGAGGTCGCAGGTTCCGATCCTGAGCACAGACCTATACATCACTCATCAAGCCATGATGTGGCAGTGTCCCACATACAAAATAGAGGAAGATTGGCACAGATGTTAGCTCAGGGACAATCTTCCTCAGGCAAAACGAGGAAGCTTGGCAACAGATGTTAGCTCAGGGCCAATCTTCCTCACAAAAAAAAAAAGACAAACAGAATACTTGTTCTTGAGTTACCACGAGTCTGTTATGACCACTGAACCTTGCTGTAGAGGGCAGGGATGACACAGAGCCATGTCACACTTCTCCACACACACATTATGAAATGCCTATCATTTCAGTGGTAGGTGGAAATATAGGGATTATAAACTGGAGCAAGAAAGATTCTCAGTAGTTTATAATATCCCAACTAATCCCTTTGGTTGGAAAAAGGAAAATATTGACATTAACATGATCATTACCCTATTGTACAAATTGATTACATAATGCTAGTCATTAACGTCCACCACTGACATTTCTATGATTTGTTTCTGCTCAATTTCAAGTGGTTTAGAAAATATTTTATATGGTTAAATGTAGGGACTGTTAAATTAACTGTTTAAATTTTACTTTACAAGTAATGTCATAAACAATTAAAAACCAGTATCCCATTATTAGAGAATAGTTAGGTGAGTTTTTTTACCACACACACAAGAATGACCTCTAGCCTCTTTCTTGTCTATTTCTGTGTTTTTTTCCCTGAGTGCATATATATTATTTTTATCATTCAAACAGCAATAATGTCCATTTTCTTTTTTGTTTTTTTGCTGGGAAAGATCCACCCTGAGCTAATATCTCTTGCCAGTCTTCCTCTCCTTTTTTTTTCCCCTCCCCAGAGTCCCAGTACAAAGTTGTATATCTTAGTTGAAAGTATTTCTAGTTGTCCTATGTAAGCCACTCCCACAGCATGGCTACTGACAGACAGGTGGTGTGGTTCCACACCCGGGAACTGCACCTGGGCCACCAAAGTGGAGCACACCAAACTTTAACCACTAGGCCATCAGGGCTGCCTCAATAATGCCCTTTTTGAAGTGACTAAAGATCACTTGTGAACAAAGGCAGAAAACCCACTTCCCTTCTCACCCCAATCATGTCCTAGGTGTGGCCAAGCTGGGGAGCGGGACACACAGCTAAGGAACAGGGGTCTTTTTTTCCTTTTTCATTAGGCCAAATTCTAGAAATAAGTACCTGTGAGTGTAATTTCCCAGTTTTTTCTAATCAGCTCTTCCAATATTTCTACCACATTTGTCCAGACGTCATCAAACACTTCTGCAGCCACCGCATCTTTGATGCAGTCATGAGGGGAAACGGGAGGAAGTCCATGTTTACGCCACGTCCTACGATGCCGAGCTGATTTTGGTTCAAGGCATTCGTCGTCACTAAGGATAAAACCCACTCTAATTACTACAAGTGTCAACGGTCACAGTTAAAATAATGCTATCTATCTAACATGCATGCATCTATGTACATTATACATATGTAAATAAACACAGCATTCTCTTGTTTAAACAGCACACTTTTTAACGTACCAACTTTCAATCAGGAGGCAAATTTTTATTATATTTGTAGCTTTTGTTTAAGAACCAAATATGCGTTTAGTGCAGAGACTGAACCTTCCCCTTTGCCCTTCTGGTCAGTCAGGTACAGGATACCAGAAGCCCCCATGGGCATGAAGGCCACCAGCAGCCTTGTCCACTTTCACCAGCATGCTGTACACAATTATTGTTTTCGGTGTGCACCATGTTGTCAAAAAGAAAGGGAAGCGTGGCTCTAGCACATACACTTCCTGCTAGGAATCTAAAAACTTTTGGAAGCACATTGCTCTCAAAAGCATGGAAAATCTTTGGATAAGTGAAAAATACACCAAACATTAAGTGAGCATATAATCAAAATACATGCCAACCAAGTTAATATTATTATACTATTACATCAATGTCAAAGAAAATTCTATTTACTCTTCTCTTCTGTCAAAAGCGAAATACTCTTCAATCTTTCCATCCACATCATAAACCTCTTCTTCGAGGGATGAACACGCTGGAAGGTGAGCAACCCCTGTGCAACCAGGGCCCGGCAGGGGAGGGGCCGAGGGTGCTACTGGGAGTATCTGAGAGCCAGAGATGCACAACCTATGGAGAGAAGCAGACTGTCTCTGAGAGCTGGTAGAACGTCAAAAATACGATGTTTGTGTGATCATGGAGGATCTTTCCAATAGCCATAAAGCACAGAGCCCCAAATTTTAAAAATCACTAAACATTACATTGGACAAAAGTCATATCCCTAAAAGCAACATTTTTACACAGGCATCATTAAAAGTTTCAAGGACTTCTTAAAAGCCTAAGTTATTCTAGGAGTTTGCATCCTCTTGGTTGAAATGAAGGCATGGCACGGCACAGTCCCAAAAATGTGTGAATGGCATAGAGATTTTACCAAAATCTGTTCGTGAGCAAAAGAAAACAGGAGAGAGCTTTATTTCTTCTGCTACTGCCTTGGGGCTTAGGATCCATCACAATAAGGCAGTTTTTGATTTTGCTTCTCACCCACCTTTCAGAGTCTTTGAAACAGAGTTCAAAAGTTAACTCCCTTGATATCTGTGTTACACACACACACAAACAGTCATCATCATCAATTTAGAATCAGAAGCATCCTGGGAAAAAAATGCTGTGTACCTGCCCTTCATTGAGCTCTAAACTCCCAAAGTGATGGAGCCAAGGCTCATGGCTGAGATAGACAGGAAAAAGAATAACTAAAATGCAATTAAAAATACTTTTCAAAAGTATCTTGTAGAAACATACTCTCTGATGTTGCTGTTGCGTTCACAGGCATCAAAGAAGGGTTTGTGGACTACAGAACCAGGCTCGCTGCCCTGGAAATGTTGGAAGCCTTCATCAGTTGGCAGGATGAGCTGTCTTCCTAATACTCTGCAAGGTAAAAAAAAAAAAAAAAAAAAAATTAGGAAACTCCTAATATTTTTATTGGAAAAGGGAAAAATGTTTTGCAATCTTAAAAATCGGATAAAATAATATTTTGAAGGAGCACCTATGAAGGAATAAGGTACATATTGTACATGAGAAGCATAATGGTGTCACAGAAAAAACAGAGGCCTTGAGGCAGAGGACAGACTGTTCTTGCCACTGATGCAGAGGCTTGAGGCAAAGTTCTCTGGCTCTCAAAGCCACTGATTCCATTTGTTTGATTTTGTACGCAAGATAGAATAATCATAGTTACCTTGGTGTACTGACGAATGGCTTAGAGATAACATGTTGATTCGAACATCTATAGTAACGCCAGGCACACAGAAGTTCTCTATAAATGTCAACTGATACATATATATAATAAATAAAACTACATAAATATATATTTGGCTTCTGTTCCTTGCAGTCTTTTTTTTTCTACCCTCCCCTCCTTCATTTTTGTCTTCCCTATGTAAGACAACAGTGGCAGGAGCAGTCTGGGCTCCTGTTTTCAGTAAGCGCAGCATGCCTAGAAAAGTAAGCATCCACGATTAATATCTAGTGGACATATTATGCTCTTTGTTTATTTATTTTTTTAAGGTGATGTTGATGGGTTTCTTTTTTCTTTTTGTTTCTTTGTTGTTGTTGTTGAGGAAGATTGTCCCTGAGCTAACATCTGTTGCCAATCTTCCTCTTTTTTTCTTTTTATCCCCAAAGCCCCAGTACAAAGTTATATATCCTAGTTGTAAGTCATTCTAGTTCTTCTATGTGGTATGCCGCCACAGCATGGCTTGTTTGGGTCCTCACCCAGGATCCGAACTGGCCAACCCCAGGCTGCCAAAGCGGAGCGTGAGAACCTAACCACTCAGCCTTGGGGCTGGCCCCCATATTATACTCTTTAAAGCAAGGGGCTTGTGAAGGACTGAAAATAAAAATTCAAACCCTACTTAGTTAAGATTTTTCTTAAAAAGTTACCTAGATGAGGTAACCAGAAGATGCATTGACATTTGTATGAGTTTTCTAGTTTATTCTCCCCAGATATAATATAGAGGGACTTCAGATAACTGAGATGGATTTTTTCCCCTAAGTAGGTCTGGCTGAGTGATTGAAGGAAGAAAAGCTTGCCTTTATAACCAATCTATATTCTTCATCTTTGACATAAAAAAAACCAATGGTCCTTCCTACATAAGGAGTCTGGGTGAAATGGTAAGATTCCTCTATCTGATCATTCGGCAAATAGTTACCCTGTTCCCCTCCCCTCCCCCCCCACCCCGCACGGTTCTCAGCACTGACGACAGATACATGTGCTCACATACTAGCGAATGGGAAGCTCATGGATTATTTCCACCCTTCTTGCATTTGTGACATATGTAATGCCTTTGCGAGAATGAGTGAGATTTGCTTCTCACAAATTAAAATGCACTCTAGTATTGGAATGTCTCGATATTTTCTCAGATACCATGTCAAAGGATACGATTTCTCAAAAAGGACACGTGTTCTGGATCCATATTTGGACTGGGCAATGCTCTCAGTCAAAATGGACTCGTTGTATTAAGTCAGGAGGGGGCAACGCCGCAAGCCACTCCAGAGAATTCCTATGAACAACTTCCCTACCTGAGATGGAGGGACCTTCGTGCCCACTCGCTGCATTCAGCCAGGAGATTCTGAGTCTGAGGGCTCACTTTCCCTTCAAATAACATTTCCTCGACCTCCCAGAATAACTGCTGTACTTTCTGTGCGTTGGCTTTGTCAAACTCCTAAAAAAGAAATGCACGTTTAGTTACAAGACAAAAAGCTGTAGGAATATGGGCTTCATAATCAATGATACTTACAAACTTAAAGTACCGAATACATAGGAGGGAGTATGACGATAACAAGAATGAAGACTTTGCAGTCAGACATATTGGTGCTCTGATTTTTAGTCTTCTAATAAGTTACATCCCATGCTGAGCCTCAGTTTCTTTAACTGTTAAATAGAGATAATTTCTACTACATGAGTTATGAGACTTGAGATTTTGCATAGATATAGACGCAGATATGAGTATACATATTGACACAAACCTTCATATAGAAACTAGAACACACACACCTATAAATCTATGCACACACACACATACACATAAATGTACACCAACATAAGTTCCTCATATAATTTGGTGTGACACATCTAAGCACATCTGCAAAATACAAGCTATTTTTTTTGGATGATGATGATACCACTGAAAAAGAAAACTACTCTTATAGAAAAGGTCATTCACCTTCTTTTAATCAATGAAGCAAAAAAAAAAATCTTGTTATCCTAAGAGGCACGGTTATTAGGGTGAAACCAGAGTATTAATTTTTCCTGTCTGGTCTTAGGAGTTCTTGGACTGGCACCGCGGTGAGTTGTGGGTGAGAAAACCTTTCAGCACGTATGTTCTCCACGGTTGGAAGAACCGCCCTACGGCCCTCAGAGCCAATGAGGAGCACGCAAACATTACTCTGGGAGGACCAACACCGCACAGGCAGCCTCCAAGGCAAGGGCACTGGTTATATTTCCTTTCTTGGGTGTGTGAACTTGAAATCTAACTCACAACTCAGACCAACAAAGTGCATGTTCAGTCTGACACAGCTGATCCAAAGGGTCAATTCAGATGGATTTTCATAGACTTCTACAATATTCTCCGCGTTACTTCTTCCTTCAAACTGATAATAAACTGCATTTGTGGAGTGCAGAGGCGTTGAATTCTCTCTTTTAAAATGCAAATCAGCAGCAAACCAAGAATAATATTTGTCCTAGTAAGGGATTTGGGGGCTGGGGCGTAAAAGGGGGCTTACTTTCAATTTCCTCTCTTTTGCATTCTGTTGCTTTTGCAAATATTACCTCTCAAACAGTAAATAAAAGTTTTTCAGTGAAAATCAGTTGTAGGGTCTGGAGTAATTTAAATTGTCCAAATGGAAGTCGTAAGAGCCTCTCTGGATAGTGACATGAGGAGTGTACTGAAGGAATCCCAGAGCTCGGACAGTCCTGGCTGGCCGATGACTCGCCATCTGCAGACTAATGAGGAGGGTGTGTGAGTGGGGGGGACAGGGAGTGGGCGTGAGGGTGGGGACTGGTCATCAGAAGTGAGAGAGTCACACTTTGTTTGCAAAAGTCTTGAGCGCTTCAGAGATGACTCCCTCCCAGCCTCGCCTCCCACGCCCTTCTCCCTCCCACAGCTTTGAGAGTCACTGCCCAGAAACCAACAGGGAAGTGGATCCACGCGAGTGTCAGAAGTGGGGAGCTGCTGCTAAAGAAAACCAGAACTCAAACAAGAAAAAAGCGGGGTCAGGACCCCGAAGGCACTGGAGTGGAGGGTTCTCCCCAGCCACCGAGGCTTCACAAAAGGCCGCCCTCTGATGGGCAGAGTGCCAAAGAAAAGCCTGAACTGTAGACAAAAAGCTCACCCTGCTGAAATCCCACCTCCAAAAAGGAGAAAAATAGGGTTAAAGTTAATAGCGTCCACCAAAGTTAGAAGGCGAAAGTAAAATATCTGACTTAGAATATTGGGGAAAAATTCCTTAATCATGATGATTTTGGTTTTGTTTTGTTTTGTTTTGTTTTGCTGAGAAAGATTTACCCTGAGCTAACATCTGCTGCCAATCCTCCTCTTTTTGTATGTGGGCTGCCACCACAGCATGGCCACTGACAGACAAGTGGTGTAGGTCAGTGCCAGGAAACCTGGCCCAGATTGCTGAAGTGAAGTGAGAAGAACTTAACCACCAGGCCACTGGGGCTGGCCCTAATCATGGTGATTTTTTACAATTTTTACGTTCCCAGTTTTTCTCTTATTCAAGTTCCTAATTGTCAGAGTCCATCCTGAATTTCTAGCCACGGATATGATATATAACAAACAGAGGGGGAGGATTGGAAAAAACAAAACTATCAATATTTAAGACTCTACGTTATGAGATTATGAGTGATTTTTTTTTTTTCTTTTTAGGAAGATTAGCCCTGAGCTAACTGCTGCCAATCCTCCTCTTTCGCTGAGGAAGACTGGCCCTGAGCTAACACCCATGTCCATCTTCCTCTACTTTATATGTGGGACGCCTACCACAGCATGGCTTTTGCCAAGCGGTGCCATGTCCACACCTGGGATCCGAACTGGGGAACCCTGGGTGGCTGAAGTGGAACGTGCGCACTTAACCACTGCACCACTGGGCTGGCCCCATGAGTGATTTTTTTTTTCCTCATATTTTCTGTATTTTTAAGTCTTTACATGTGCCATGTAAATACTTTGATATGTATGTATATACATGTGTGTATTAGGTAATGACTTTAAAATTAGGAAAAAAGATTTTTTTTTAAAAGTAAGAAAGCAATCCTTCATTATAAATTGGAATCATAGGATTATCCAAAATATTCTGAGACATACATCATCTCTCCAAGAGTAAATGGAACTCCGCTCGGTAGATAGGCCAGTGGTAGAACTCTGTGTCTCAGACTCAGACCAAGAGCTGTGGGCTTCTGGGCGAGAGGTACTTCCACTGGATGAAAACGATGACAGGGAGTCACTGCAGGAACAAACGTGAGTAAGATAAATAACATTCCCAGGGAAGGGGCTATACTGGCAAGCAGCTTTACTTCTCTGAGCTGACTTCCTCTTTCTTTCTTTAAATAGATTTGTCAGTTTCACAGTACACAGATTTTAAAATATTTATGCAGTGTAACATTTCACTAAGCTAAATATAAAACTGCTTTTTCCCTGCTAGAAACTCACAGCCAATCACTGACTTTGCTTCCCGTCTCTCTTACAGGCATCCTCTGATTTTAAAGCAGAAGCATTTCACAGGTTAATTCTCACCAGGTATATTTATCAATGGCTTTCTGCACATTTCTTGTAAAACGTGTAGGCAGAGAATCTTTGCTTTTCACAGCAAAACTGTGCTTTCCAGATCCTTCTGACAGTCCTTTCCTGAAAAATACAATCAGATATGAACAGTATCTCTAATGTAATAATATGCCTTTATTCATTAAGACTTTCCAAATTTCCCTTTGTATAAAGTTGCTCATCTCCTCCTGCAGTGTCTCCCTAAACACATATGTGTGCCTGTACACACACACACATGTGCACACACCACAAATCCTCAAGAAATTGAGGCCTAGGACCTTACCATTTTTATTTTCCTTAGACTCAAAGTTGCTATTAACCTACATGCACCTTTGCATAAACTGGAAAAAAACAAACAACTTTTTGTGACTTAGCCAGATTGGTAAAACTTTGTCCAAACTCTGGACAGACACAGCCTCATCCCAAGACTCGGCAAGGAAAACATGAGCTGGACTCCAGGTCCCACTCGTCCCTTAGGCTTGCAAAAGGCAACCAGCCTTCCAGGGAAAAGTCAATAATTCTATGCTAATTCTGAAATACATCAAATTCTTCTGACTCACTAAACACATAAATAAAAGAAATGATTGAAACACACAAACAATAATTCACTTTAGTTTGGTGTTGCCGTTTGGGGTATAGCCTGATTTGTACAGAGTTTTAAAATATCAAAATTAATGGAAAACTAAAACAGAAGAAATCTTGATTTAAATAAGGTATTAAATGTTACTGGTGCAGCACAGTTAGTGTTAATCATTAAAATGCCCTTTCAATGAACCTCTTAAAACATTTACATCCCTCTAGTCAAAAATATCTTCCTCAGGTTTAACAGTAAACAACTTGTACTCTTTTATAGAAATCACATTTTCCCACACAAATAACTTATATTTTATATTAACTGATGATACGGTCATGATTTAGAAAAACAAAAGTCAGCTATCAATATTTCTAACAGGGAATCACTCTAGCATTTGTTAAAAAAAAAAAAATTGGGGACCAGCCCCGTGGCCTAGTGATTAAGTTTGGCGTGCTCCACTTTGGTGGCCTGACTTTGGAACCCCGAGCGCAGACCTATACCACTTGTCAGCAGCCATACTGTGACAGCAACCCACATAAAAAATAGAGGAAGACTGGTACAGATGTCAGTTCAGGGCAAATCTTCCTCAAGCAAAAAGAGGAAGATTGGCAACAGATGTTAGCTCAGGGTGAATCTTCCTCAGCAAAAAAAGAAAGAAAGAAAGAAAAGTTTGCATTCAATTAAAATTTTCAACATTTGTATTTCTGAATGTAAATGAAGTTTTAAAAAATATTAATATGAGAGAATAAATTCTGCCCTTAGTTACATACCTATAGTATTCTACAACAAGGGGAAATTTAACAACAAATTGATTACAATAAACAGAGGTTGGAAAGAACTTCTGCCTTCTACATATGTCTTATATGAGATAATAATAGAATTATATGATTTTTTCCCCTCCTATTGCTTATATGTCTTAAGTACAACCAAGTAATTCTAAAGATAAGGTGTTAAAAAAGAGACCAAAGAAAAGAACACAGGACAAGCTTTTATGCTAATAAACTGCTTAATCTTCAGCCCTGTGCAGTTGGTTTTAAAATTATCAATTACTTATAATTTACATATGACTCAATATACGACATAAAAGAGGCAATCAACTAAAAATTGCATCAAATAGATCTGCTTTGAACATTAAGAAACATATCCTGGTATATGCGTTAATTTGCTTGTTATTGAGAAATCATTTTAAACTTCAGGGTGGTGAATCGAAGAAAACATTGTTCCTTGTAAAATCTACCTAATAATAATGGTGGACTAGAATCTTGCTCTGCCACTGACAGCTGTGTGCTTTGAGGAAGTCACTTTTCGTTTGCTGGACTCGTGACAACCCACATCTGTAGAACAGAGCCAATCCTGTTAACTCTTTTGTACAGTGGTTGTGAGCCTTAAATTAGATCGAGTGTGTAAGGTGTCTAGGTAATCAGTGGATAAACCAGGTTGATCTTGCTCGGTGCTGTTACTGTTACCATGTGTTACTTTATGAAAACCCTGTGTTCTTATTTCTTTATACCTCCCAAAGCATTTTAGATTATATAGTTCTCTTTTGGTACTTCGGCTTTTTATTGTGAAGATCTTGACACTTTACTAATTTTTTAATTTGTAGCACCTAAAACAACGCCTGTCACATAAAGACGGTCTGTGTTTGTTGAATCAATCAACAGGCAAAGATAAATTAACGACTTAAACGAAAAACATGCGTTTGGTCTATAATTATTCTGAATGTTCATGCTTAATACAAAAGGTTACATCATGACCAGACACAAAAATATTTTCCAAATTCTTACAAAGAAAACAGTTCAGTGGATACCAGGGGAAGGGGCGGGGGGTGGGCACAGGGGGTGAAGGGGAGCACTTATGCGGTGACAGACAAGAAATAATTTGCAAGTGAAATTTCACAATGATGTAAATAAACTATTATGAACTCAAATAAAAAACTATAAAAATATATATTCTCCAAATTCTAGATTTTTCTGGAGAATTTTTTGTCCTTTAGAAAGAAAGTTCACAGCTCTTAGAGTAGCTGCTATCTCCAGAAATGACTTTAACAACCAAACGGAGCTTCTGTTCCACTCATTTCCACTTTTGTGGCTTCTAGCTCCTCCTCTGCCTTTCCTGCAACCTGAAAACTGAAGTCACTAATCAGATCCTTGCCAATCTGTTTTGTTTTCAATGAACAATAATTTCTTCCTCCAGAAAATGCACCCTTTTCCTGAGGGAGGCGGAGGAAGTCTTTTCAAACTAAAAAGAAAATTTACAAAGTGGAAGAATGAATTCCTCTCTCCACATCGCATCACATCCTTGCCAAGATCAGCATGCCTGCTCACTTTGCAGGGTAGCTGAGGACAGGAGGTCTTGACCATGCAGGGATGGTGGGGCGATTATTACAAAGTGGATACCTTGAAACACCATCTACGACCATATCACTCCTCCAACTTTTTCTCCTCTGCTTTTCCCTGCCTCCTCTCCTTAAAGTCTATTTCTGTGGAAGTTCTCGAACTTCAGAGTTCAGTGTAATAACATACATCTGACCACAAAATTCAAAAGAATTCTGCAGAAGAATTTGAGCCCATTAACTCAATGACTGCCCAAGGTCATGAAGAAGGTAGGGATGCAGCTGGTCCCAGGACCCAGGCCACCTGACCTGCATGTCTCTCCAGGAACCTCGAGTTACTGACGTTGCAAAGTAAAATAGAATTTATAAAATTTGCCTTTTCTTTTTATGTTTTGTTTTGAGTCTTCGGTTTCTCTGTTCTCTAACCATGCACTGTACTGTTATTTCATGCAAAATATTGAACATCTTTAATTCCCTGTAAACTACCAACTTCTAGGTAACCTCTATAGTCTAAGGAAGAGTACACAACTTATGGGATGTGTCCTATAAATATTTTTAAATATTTAAAACTTGAAAGTTGTGGAATGTCTATTAAGCTTTTATTACATAAAACATAGACATATAACATTTTTGCACTAGTTCCTGTCTATACTGCTTAAATTTTAGAGATGATAAAATACTGCTAGTCGGTACATTTAAGGCTGTTCATTTGGGGACAGGACCTAGGTTTTAGGGTAGACAAGCGCAACCACCGCACTATATCGCACTAATTTGTTGGTGCAGCAAAGTTCAGGCTGAGTCCCAATCCCCGAGAGTCACTCCAGCCCAGTCGTCAAGAAAATGACTCGATTCTCTTTCTACGTTTTAAAAGTCGCCTTGTGATAACCCATCAACCTCTGCCACCTTGCCCTGCAGAAATTCAGTTATTATACAGGGATCGAAGCTTTCAACACTGTATTTCCACTTAAGAGGGTGGTCTGAAATGAACACTGTATTCTGAATGAGTTGAAATGCTGGATGGTTTTCTGGGTGGACTGGCCATCACGAAGCTGCTCCTCCCATAAGACACTCACGCCGCCCCGGCTTAACATAAGGAGACCCAAGAAGCTCCCGTGGCTTTCTCCTCTCTGGGGACTGATGGAGAAGTCATCGCAGATGCGACAAACGCTTCTCAGACCAAGGGAGCAACTTCGCCTGGGAAGGTCTGACGATGTCAGCAGGAGCGATTTCCTGAATGGACGCAAGGAAACAGACCGGAGGGAATCCGGCTCCGCAAGCAGGGAAAAATCACGCGCATGGCACAAAACGACACCACAGAAAGTTCATCCCGCCTCCCTTCCCAGATCGAGACTTACCCAATCACGATCAGCCCCAGGCCTGGGTTCGCGTCCCCCTGGCCGGGCCCGGCGCCTCGAGGCCTGGGCGCCGCCGGGTGCGGTCCCCCGGGGCACGTCCCTTGCAGGCGACGGCCGGCCCCGCGTCCCCGCGCCCCCGAGCCCGCGGCCCCGCGCCCGCCCAGCCCTGCGCCCCCCGCCACTAGTCCTGCGCGTGCGGCCGCGGCGCGCCCGGCACCCGCGAGCCCGCAGCGGCGCGGCCAGGGGCGCTCCCAGCCGCGTCTACGCGGCCCATGGGCGCGGCTGTACGCGGGGGACCCCGGCTGCTCCCCGCTCCGGATCCGCGCGCCCCGCCGGGGCCAGATCCCCGCGCACGCCTTTCCCTGCCTCTCCCCTGCCGCCGCGCCCTTTGGAGGCACCCCCTCTTCCCAAGGCTGGCCGGGCACCCCGCCCTGCCTGCCCTCCCCCTGCCCTCTGACCGCGGCCCGCCTTCCCAGGAACCCGACTCCGGAAAAGCACGCAGTCCCCCCTTCCTGTGGCCAAAGCCAGATTTCCTAATCCCGTGACCTGAGCTTTGGCCACAGGCCACTGGGCCTCCTGGCACCCGCCCTGCCGCCCTCTCTGCGCCTCCAGCGCGCGCGGGTCTGGTCTTTCCACTCCTTCCCTGGGGTCTGTCTGTCTGGGCGGCGGGGTCTGTCCAGACAGGTGTTTGCTGTCCGTAATTCTTCTACATAGAATTTTAATTAACAGAAAGAGCCCAGAACTACAGCAGGATTTCACCTGCCCGCCTTCGCCCATCAAACGGGGCGGGGGGGGGGGGGGGGGGGGGGCGGGGGAGGTAGGC